TTCCTGTAAGTCTGATGGATGAAATGATGTCAAGAGACACTCGGGGGAAGAGGAGGAGGAGGAGGGAACACCTCCGCCCGGGCAGGAATCCCGAGGAGCCGGTTGGTTCCCGCTGACCCTACACAAGCGAGCGGCCGGCCCCAGGCACCAGCTGGGGTCGGGGGCTCGGTGCTGGGATCCCCGCGACCCCCCAGTTCAGAGCCGGGGTCCTCACCCCCACCTGGGGGAATTGGCACTACCCCATCTCCTCCCCAAGCCCATCGCGATGCCAGCACGGGCCCTCGACAGCTTTCAGGTGTGTGCTGGTGGGTGCAAATCAGCACCTTTACCCACTTTCTTTCCCCCCCCCCATCAGGACCGCAGCCGCTCCCAGCCCCGCAGCACACCCTGACCCCGAGGGAAAGGCCCGGTCCTAACCCAGGCACCTGTGGCCAGGTCCCCAAATAACCCCGGGAGCACAGCGCTCAGCCCCGCCGCCTGCAAGAGCCGGCCCAGGGGGAAAAGCCGGGCAATAAGGCAAAGGGCATCGGTGTGGGACCGCCCTGTGGGACCGCCGCTGCAGGCAGCAGTTCGGGGCTGGTGCTGGGGAGGTGCTGAGGTGACAGCCGCCAGCCTCTAGCGTTGGAGGAAGAAAACGCAAGAAGCAGAGTTGTGGCAATGCCTGAGGCGGTGCCGTTCACCTGCTTCTCGATCAAACTTGGGAAACTACGCCCCAAAAACCAACCCAAACCCAAACCAGAGACAAAGCAACCACGCCCCGCAGGAGAAAAGCTCTGGGCTGCAGCCTCCGGGAGAGGGGAATAAAGCCTGGAGCACGTCGCTGGTCCTACAGCAGCACTGCTTGTCCAGTAGGAACCTCGGTTCTGGTCACTGACCCTAGGCGATCCCAAAACCAACAGCTGGGCACTCAAGCTATTTGGTAAGATAGTATCGATGTGAAAGAAAAAAAAAATCCCCTTTTCAGGCAGAAACCAGCTTCAGTTGCAGAAGAGTATGGGACATGCAGCTTGGATCAGTTCATAGGGGAAAGAAGACATCGCAGGGACAGGACAGCCAACTCCAGCAGTTGAGGCCTTTCTGAGCAGAGGCCGCAGCCCTCACAGCTCCCCCCCAGCCTCCTCAGGTGTGCAGCAAGCAGCTGACCCACGGGCTTTTCCCCAATAACCTTCCCCATTAACAGCAGCACCTTCACTTGCAGCAACCCACAGCAGCGATTAACGCTGCCCTCCTCCTCCTCCTCTCCAGAAGATGCTCCGTGTGCAGCCCCAGAGACCACGCTCCTAGGGCCGTGTTTGCCTCCAGTGAGTACGTGTACGCCATTTCTTGTCAAGACACTGTGCCATGCGCTATGCAGATGACAAGAGACAAGGCAGGAGCACTGAGAGCCCGACTCATTCCATACACACCTCATGAAGTTGAGCTGAGGCTTTTCAATACAGTGAAAATAATGTAGTCAAACGTGTTCCTGCAGTCAGGTGAAGAGGAAGGCTCAGCTGGGAAGAATATTTAGTCCAAAACAAAAACCAAACCCTTAAATGGGTTTAATTTCTTAAATGGAAGACATCTTCCTAGATGTACTGCAGTCGGTATCACAGTTTAGAGGAACTCAAAATCCTTCAGAGAGCCCTTTGAGTCTCACTTATGGGGACTTGGGCTCCGTATGACATGAAACTGCACTGTCTGCATCAGGATAAGAAATAGTTTAAGTCATTAAAGCTATTCAGGATACACACCATTCATTTAATGCCACTGATACCTGATTTCATACCTCACTGCTTGTCATTTCTGGTCTGTAAAATCCAGTGCTCTGGTAGATGGGAATTCCTAGCCCTAGAATAGGAAATACTGTTTTCCAAATACACCTTTCCCCCTGTGCCTCCAGAACACAGAAATGGCAGCAACTGTCTTTAAAAGCAGAAACCTGCAGCTATGAAACCTACTATGAGACCTCCAAGGCTTTTGGCTGTGTAGACACTACCTCCCTTACAAATACCTGAACAGGCTGCAAGGGAACAGACAGTGAACACAGATGAGATGTGGATCACTCAGTCCCCCTTTCATGACATGGCGTAAGATGGATTTATTCCCAAGAGACTTGTCTAGCAAGGCTGAAGACTCAAAATTGTCCATTGCGTAAGGTCCAAAGCAGCATTTGTAGTACTTTACCAGCAGCACAGCTTTGTTTGGGTAAGAGCACCTGTAATTTTTACACAATTACTGGAACTGAGTCTGGAGAAAGCCAACATAAGCAGACACGTACCTGTAACTATTAGCGGAAGTTACAGCTTGGGGGGAATGTTGGAAGAGGTTCAAAGAAAGGAAGAGGAGAAACAAACTGCACAGCTCAAGTTTAAGTCTTGTCCCCAAGAAGGGGGTTGGACAAGGTAAGAAGAGGGGAAAAAAAACCAAACAAAACCAAAACCAACAAAAAGCCATGAACACAGCATTTCTCTAAGTCAACAGAGGATGTGATAATAAAAATAAAAGCCCACTATTTCCCAGTTTAAGAAAGCACACAGCCAAAATTAGTGTCTGCTATTTGCAGATGGAACCAAACAGGAAAACAAAGGCAATGCCTTACTACAGGTATTCCACAACTAAACTTAAAAAGTGGGGCAAAACCCAAGTCCCAGGAAGACAGATGGAACACCAAATCTCTCATTCTCAACCTGTATTTTATCCTGGACAAGTGAGAACTGAAATCCTTCAGGTTCCCTCAGATCTCTACAGGATCATCCAAGGCCCTAAATTTGACACAGCAGTCTAAAGATGCAGAAAAGGCCACTACCTGAATATTCATCAGTACCAAGAGAAGTTAGGTATCCAATGATATTGCAAGGCTAAGTAGGAACCTAGCTGCATCTTTAAGCAACTCTGTCAGATTTGGCCCCAGGTCCAAGCCACTCAACCCCCTGCGCCCCGATTTGCACTACTGTAAAAGGAAAAATAATACCTCACAGGCTTGTGAGGCTTACCTGCTTAATGTATGCAAAGCTCTTTAGCATTTTCCTCCCATCCCCTCATAGATGTGCTAATCATCACATTACTACTATTCCAGGATAATGACTTTAATGTGGTGACTTACAGAAGAAGCCTCTCAGCAGGGTGATTTTCATCTGAAGGCTCCAGCACCAGGTGCTGGTGGGGGGTTTGAATTTTTGACTGCATGGCTCAGGGGCCAGATTTTGCAGTAATCTCTTGGCTTCCTGCCCTATCACAACCATATTGTGATACCTTCTCAAGCAAGGAATTTGAAAAAGGCACTGAAACAACATGAAAGTGAACACAGGACCTTGAAGTTCACTGTTTAAGCCTGAATTTGGAATCTAAAGATTTTTTTATTTTTTTTAATGATGTGGTAGGTTAAAATAGCCTTTTATTTGGCTTTTATCATATCCTACTTACTTAGCACAATTAATGACTGACCAACAAAATGGGACATTTAGAGCCCAATATCAGGTCTAAGATGCTTGTTTCTCACATGTGGTTTATGCCTTTTTGAACACTCCAACACACTAAGGATGCTGATGGCAGAAAATCTGTATTTAGCCTGTATGCTGCCCACAATCAAGTGCTTGCAATTGTGGTTTTATAAACACTTGAAATAAGTGATTCATAAGGCAACTTAATTGGATGGGCTTCTCCCAAATGCATTGTGGAGGCCAGCGTAAGTAGCAGCTTATTGTAGAAAAGCACTACCCACTTCATTACGAAGGCAGTCGATTTAAGCAACTATACAATGAAATAGACACTATTATTTAAAATAGAAATGTATTTTGCTTTTATTGTACAAATTACTAGGAAAAAGCAGTCCTCTGCTTATTCAGTTTCTCTTATTAGATCCATAACATGGTCTACAGAAACAAAAAAAAGTTTGCCCAGTGTACTAATAGTAGTGGAATAGTATTAATTGTAGTAGCAAAATGAAATACATAGTAAAATATAGTAAATGAAGTAGTAAAGAAATTCAATAAATGAAGTAAAATGTAGTAAATGAAATAGTAAAATGGAAGTGTAGTAGTAAAATAAAGACATTTGGAATTTAAGGTATCACCTTTCTGATGACTTTACCTATACAAAATTAGTTTAGTACAATGTTCAAACCTTTGACTCATTTCTGCCAAGAATATTTTATTCTACTTCTCAAACTAGAAGCCATTTATCAGCAAGTATCATACTTTTATTTCCCCTCATTGGTATTTTACAATAGGTATGAACAACAACAGCCCCCCTCAACTGGAAAAAAAAACCAACAAAAACACAACAAAAAGATGTTGTTATGCATCAAGCTTCTACTAATATTTGCCAGCTACCTCATCACTGGACAACTGCATCCGAGTATTTCTGAACTGCATTTAGATGTAATCAGAGGAGTGCTATTCGTACAACATTGTGTGTGACAGTTAAAACTGCACTTCATGGATTTTTGTATTTTCCATTTTCATAGATTTTTCCTTTTGTGATGTGTTTTGTTAGTTCTGAACTAATTACACGGTAATACAAAGAAACAGAACTATTTTTAAAGTATTTCCTTTTCTTTGCTGCTTCAAGTCAGGATGCTGATATGATTATGCACTTCTACACTTCTGCTGGTAGATGGTGGTGGTGGGGATTATGACTTACCCTCTCTGATCCAAAGTTGGGAACAGAATGGAAAAAAAAAGTTACATTTGCTTCTAGCTTCATCACTCTGTAGGATGTTCCTTGCATTGAATGAGAAAGCTGGGAGGAAAGGAGGTAAGACAACTGCAATAACAAGCAAACATACTAACACTCAAGGTAATTTTCTAAAACAAAAAGCAGAAAGTAACTGACAGCAACAGTAACAGCCCAGAGTAGCAATCAGTCTTTTTTTTATCTTCTCATTTCTCGTCTCTGGAGGGAGCATCCAAGATTAAGACTGCACACACCTCCAAAACGAGTGCTGAAGTATGACGCCCCATTGAGACTACTGGTTCTTCAGCTGATTTAGCAGAAGAATGTCCCTTTACAAACCTTCAGCACTTTTACATGTCTTTATTGAAGTCCACAAAGATGTAACTGTGATTTGGATGACTTACACCAATTCCTTTTTTTGCAACATAGATAGCGTGGTAATCAGACAAAAAACAGATACTAATATTTTGCTGCAGAACTACAAACAACTCTTTAAATGGAGAAAACCTTAAGAGAGAATCACTCAACACAAAGCTGCTGTAGTGAAAGCTCATCAGATCAAGAAGAAACATGCTGATACTCCTTTTAAGTTGCCTGCATTCTCGTAGCTAAGGATTCCTATAATCCTTTTAGCATCCTTATAATCCTTTTTGGGATGAAACTGTTAATAGAAGTAATTATGCCTGAGGAAACAGATCTCCGGCATAAATTGAATAGCACAGTTCAGCTGGAAAATACTTCCAAGACAATAAGTAAAAAGATATTTGCTGTCCTGTGGCTGTTACAAAACAAAACAACAAAACAGGTACACCTTATCAGAAAGTTTTTCATATGAATCTGTACTGCAAAAGATCTTTCACAACATAGAAATCATGATACTTAATATTAAAAAGGCAAAACACACCATCGTGATCATTTTAAATACAAGCGTGCAACATAAACAATACAGTATTATCTGCTTATGTTTACCTTTGTGAACAACAGGAAGCAGCTATGACAGCAACTGAACAGCAAGTGAAAACAAAACTAGTAATCAGTAAGTAATAGTTACAACCTTGTGGCAAAAAAGCAACTTTGAGGAGATTGTGTACAAACTGTCTATACTAGAAACAAAACCTTAATATGCTTTTAAATAAGGAGATTTTATTTTTGATTCTACACTGAAGTATGTACTGGATGCAAATATTATGGATATGATGAGAAACCAGTAATTTTCATATGAATTCAGCTCAGTTACATATGCTGAATAGAAGCATAATGCGACCAAATTTTCCAAAAGTATTCAAAGCACTAAAAAAAGTCACTCTTTCTTTGCCATTAACTTAGTTATAAAGAAGAAAAAAACAGACCCAAACACTGTTAACGCTCCCATTTTTACTAATCTTTTTTCCAAGGTGGGTGCTTTTTCTGGGAATACCACTTGACTGGGGTCATTCTTCTGTTCATGCTGAAGCAGATGTTCAGTCCATGTTGAAAGTACAACAAAGAAAAAAAGTTAGTGTGAAAAAGGTATAACAAAGAAAAAGAGTTAATGTGAAAGCTTCTGAAGTCTGTGATAAAGCATAATCCTAGATTCTCAGGTTCTCAGGACTGAGATATTATTTGTGTGTCCGTGCCCTACTTCAACAGAAATCACTGTGTGCAAGCCTTTATCTTATCTCACGTGCAATGATTCTGTAAGCAGTACACACTAGAAAACAAACTGTTTACAAACTGAATTCTTCTGGAGTAAAACATACTAGTAGACACTACAAAAATCAACACCAAAACATTTAAACTCCAATCATCAAATGTTTTAACCAGGACTTCTGCTATTTAATAACTAGAAAAACTGTTTATTAAAACAACAATTAAACACGTATCTGATTAATTTCAAGGAGTCTCTGAAAGCTCAAAGGGAGAGTGGAAAGTACCATACAAGTGCCTGCTCTAATGCCCACTGAAGTTGATTGCAGCCTTGTCATGAAGTGAAACACTGGTTAATTCCTGCTTCCCTCCCTTTGTATGTAACACTTGGCAGGCTATCTCATTTACTACTATACTTTCAAAAATTGAATGCCATATACTTCATGCATACTGAAAGCCAACATCTTGTGATGACGAAGCTGAGGAAATACTACTGCAGATTTTAAGGGAATTTGTACTAACTTAGTATCTAAAGGGTTTCTCTGGTTCATTTACATTGACGCTTTTCATAATAAAATGTTTCAGTGCTCTAGAAAGCTGAAAATTTAATATTAGAATGCTTCCTATTAGTCTTCCTCAGTCACGTTCATAACACACTACGCTATTTTAGTAGAACAGGAGTTACTACATTTTTCAAAATAACCAGACGGCTAACGTTTAATGCCTGTTTAACAGTGGGTGTAGAGACACCCTGCTGCATCTTCACAGCTATAAAACCTCAAATTCAGATGACAGCAAGTGCAAGTAGCACCTAACTCAGGTCCTCCCAACCCCTCGCAACTGGCCTGCACACGCAGGAGGCAGATATATACACGCAGTTTGACTTCTGCATATGCAAACAAAGGAACATAAAGAGCTAAAAAGTTCTTTGTTAGGACCTCTTAAATGTATTTGGTGCTAAGTGATTTATTAGGAGAAAGCTGTTATATTACATTAAATTTACTTGAACTCCAGGAAATTGCATTAGTAGCATTATACTTAAGGTCCGAGTTCCACATGGCTTCATTCAGTAACAGATTCCTTTCTGACACTGATGCTCCATTTACTCTACCAGAGCCATTCATTTTACTGGCCTATTACTTAACGTGACCCCACTTGACAAGAGCGTATCATTGTGTTGGTCTGAGAATGACTGATGTGGTGCTAACATCTAGCCTTGACCTCTCCCACCCTCTTCTTTTGTCACTCTGCAAAGTTATCTGGGATGCCTCCTATTCAATCCATAAAACTGCACTATCTTCCTTGGGAGTCAATAATTCCAAACAAAAGATTCCTTAATTAAGAAGTATTCAGAGTGGTTTATGCCACAGTGGCTGTCCACATGCACAGGAGTACTTCCCACTCAATTCCTTACTGTGGCAGAAAGAATAGGACTGACCACTCCTTCATTTGGAGACTCCGCACACTGTTCTGTAACATCCTAGATTATTTCACGTTCTGTTATGGAGAGGTGGAAAGAAGTGTACGAGTGGTGGATGCAGTGATCAAACTACAGCTGAAGAAGCTGAGATAGACCAAGGTACAAAACATTTCACTGATGGCTGTCACGTTCAAGATACTGCAGCCAGGTTTCTGTGTGCAACGTAACGGCCTCACTGCTCACCTTCTCCATGAGGTCCTTCAGTCTGGCAACTTCTTCTCCCAACCTTTCAACGTTGGAAACCATATCTCTGCAGACTTCAATGTATCTTTCAGTTGGTGCCCACTGCAGTGCTATCTGTTGAGAGTCAGTTATTTGCCAGAATTACTGCAAATTATAACTTAATGCTAATTAGTTGATGTAGTATAAAAGGCAGCATCAGAACAAAAATGTAACTTCTTTAATGTTAGGTTTTCATTGTATGATTTATGCATGACATTGATCTACTACTCTTTCAGCCTTTGTGGGAAGCTGCTGTCACCTGAATTCCCCTATCAGGGGAAACACTGAGTAACAGCTTTACGTTCTTTAATAGGGCAGCTTAACTCTTCGAAATAAGATTTTAAAAATAATTTTACTTTAGAGAAAAAACATTGGACAGCTTTAGAAAACTAACAATGATCAAGACATTTGATTAGTATTCAAATTTTTCATTTTACGGCATAGAATAACGCTATTCCCCAAACTCTAAATCAATTATTTTTTCCCTTTAGTTGAATACCTTGTGAGAATTTTTGAGGAAATGATTATTTATGGTCTGCAGAGGAACAGTCAGCTTGCTACACTCTTTATTCAACTTCTGAAGGAACTTGAGGCATTCGTTTCCACTACCAAAACAAAACCATATTCTATTACTTGTAGAAGGGTATGTCTTTTTGCAAGCTAAAATCATCTGTGCATTTCCAGCATTGGCTAGTAAATGAATCAGACATGCAGTTTCATTATATTAAAAAAAATAAATCTATCCTGTTTAACACGTAATACTACATTTAACATCTTGGCAAGTTTGGCAAGTTACACACTTTGATCGTCTGTTCCCCCGACCCGAAAGGGTAGCAAATCCTAAAGTTACCTGGAATATTCAGCTGCATACAAAACTGAAAAAGCATCATCCGAAAGTTTTTGTGAAACAATTCTGTTGACCTCCACTTCTATTCCCTCACTCTCACCAATCCTGTTTTTAATCAACTTAAGAAATTTTGTACCGGATTATGCCTAATAACCCCAGAACACTGCCTTCCTGTTCATGCGGGCATACAGATCAGTCTTCCAACACCAGGAGCAGAGAGTTTAGTCAACTTTATGCTGAATTATCAATATTCATTACCCAGAGATGACATTTTTGAAAAGGACTGGGTGTGTGTGGGGGGGGAATAGTAGTATTCTCATGGAGTCATTTAGTTTCCAGCACAGTGAAAAAATGAAGAATCTGTTACTGACTTGGGACCTGGATCTGACAATACTTTCCTTCAAGACTAAAATACCTTACGTTATCTGCTTCGAAGAAAAAAGTATACTCAGTGCTCAAAAGACACGAAGATCACTGAAAATCAGTTTGATCAGTCTCCAAAGAGTGAAAGAAAGGATATAGAAATTTAACAGGCTAATTTCAGTGCCAAGATTTTAGATCTCCCATGTGAGAGTGACTCAATTCTTTTTACTTTATGTGCCAGAAGGAACCCAAAGTGTCAGTTCCAAGTCATGGTGCAAGCCAGAAAGTTGCTGCCATTGACTGGGCAAAAGAAGAGGATGGGGGAGGGGAATAGGTAAGATCATCCAAACTTCTCAGAAGTGCCTTTGTCACCAGTAGAACAGTTTCAGCTACCTGTAAGCTATTTAGGTGAGTAACATCAGGCCCAAAACAAAAGACAATATTAAGCTGGCATTTCCCTATCACAGGACTTCATTACATCTGGGAGAGTGTCTGAGAAGAGGCTGCATTTAGCCCACAGATTGTTTGCATTCAGCTCTCAAGTCTTCCCTACAACACCCCTCCCAAACAAGCACTATTAAGCTGCCTACTGGCAGAACACTGCTTCCTAAAAACAGCTGGGAGCCTGGGGCCTGATCTACTGCTGCATCTACACGGGAGGACAGGCGAGTCTACAGACTCAACTCTTTGGGAACCATTCTGCACCTAGGACTTGTTCCACCAAGATGATCTGTCAGGAAGGGAGAAGGAAAAGTGTGACAATAAAAGCAGAACACAGCTCTCACTCGGTGTTATCCCACAACCAGGATTATACTGCTTTATACCTGTTCTGGAATTATTTCCTTTAGTTTTCATTTCATATTTGCTTCTTTCCACCTAGAAAGGTATCTTTTAACTAGCTAGGATCAGTTGCAGCACCTTCTGTCACAAAGTAAGTTATTTTTCTTGAGAATCCCTCCAGAATTCCTACATTAAGTATTTCATGGACATGAAAAAGAGGGAAAAATATTTGCAAAACTTCTTTATTATACCAATATGGATCTTAAAAAACATTTTCATGGAATTCCTATCTGTCGCAGTGACATGTTATTTCCATTTCCAAATACTTCTAAATGGAAGTAACTTTTTCAAAATATAATTGCTTTTAAAAAGAATTAATGGCTGTCAAAACACCAGTGGCTAAACAGTGCTAGACACTCTGTGAGTTTATAATCAATCAGTTCAACATTTTCTACTATGTTAGTTTTTCTATGACTTAATGACTGATCTTCCTTCTCACAGAATGACTTTGAACAAATGGCAAGTAAAATCTTTATGTAACAGCAGGTAAACATAGCCTATGATTTTAGTCTCAAGGTCAGATGCCTAAAATACGTGTCAAGACATTTTCTATAAAACCACGCAGTGCTTGCCTTAACTCAAGTGCTGCCATATTTTGTTTTGTCTTTAATCAAACAATTATTTTCTGGTTTTGAGAATAATGTATGTTCTAAATGCATACTGTACAAATAAGTCTTTTTGATGACCATGTTACTGGTGTATGAGACTGTACCTCATGTTATAGGTATCGTAATTCCCCCCCATAGATGGCTTTGCATGCAATTATTGGTAACTTTTTTTTTTTATTTCTCCACTTATTATGCTTTTTTTTTTTTTAAGCTGTACTGCTTGACTGCATATACCAAACACTGCTCACTACAGGCCAATTTGAAAAAGCATTAAAAAATGCATGAAGCTTGAACTGGACAAAGTCCTTTCACACTGCAGCTAATGCTCCCTTTACGAAGAATCAAAATCCTTTTATGAAAGTGCTGAACTTGGACACTGAAACATCCAGATGCCTGGTCTACTTCCTCAGCTCAGCAGCAAAGCCTTTATTTTAATTGGAAAGGCTCCCTGTGTTGTGGAGAAGAAAGAAGCAGCTAACAGAGGAGCAGTGCAGCTACTAGGCAAGAATTGCCCTCTTAACTAGTAGTACACTAGCTGACAAGAAGGTATCTCCAGAAGGGTGAACCTAAATTCGAGTCTAGGTCTCCTTTAGCAAAACTATTACACAGCAAAATAGAGGATAAGAGGTTTAAGAAACCTTGACACCTTTACACTTCCTACAGCCTTCAATCTTCTTTTAGTGGCAGATATGGGAACTGTTCTACTAGTGCTTAGGGGACTGATTAAGTTTAATAAGGCTGCAGGAGGATGCTTCTCCCAGCACAGGCCTGGCTTTAATGGGACTGCACAAGACTATACCAGAATGAAGTACAACAGGTACTGTAGAGTTGGTACTAAAGCCCTATAAAGTTTTCTTTCTATCTCTGTACCTCTTTTTATTGCATTTTAAACTCAAATTTAAGTACTGAAGAGTCTGTCTTGTTTATAGATACAACGGAGAATTACAGAGACCACATCAATTAGAGTCTGCAAGGGTCAAAAATGCACTTGAAGCATGGGTAAGGGAAGAAGGCAAGACTCCACTTCCTTGAAGACATATGAAAATCTGCTCACTGAAGCTGATCAGAAAAAATAAAGAATGAGTTAACGCTGGAGTCAGAGAAGCCACGTGTGATATAAACACACTTAGTGAAACCCCAGCACAGCAAGGCCACGTTACCCTACTTGGGGTACAGAGAAAGTATTTATGACTCAGAGATGACCAAAGCAATTGCATAAGATAGCAATATAACCCATAAACAGAGTCCTAACAACAGTAATCTAGTCTTTTAACTTTCCTTGTACAAAATGCAGACTACCATCTCTCAAAATGCACTAACTCTCATGAATGCTTATACATGAGGTAAGGTGAGAAAATCTTAGCTCTGTGCTGAAGAAAACACTGCAGTTACTTGAATAGTTTGTATTTCACTTTACTTTCCTTAGATACACATTTATTACCTGAATTCCATCTTCTCTACTTCAGGGAGATCTCCAATTCTTATTTCTTTCACTTGTAGCTCTTTAATAGCATCTAGGAGTTTCTGTTGATCTACAGGATTTTTAATGCCCATCTAAATTTAAAGAATTATTTTGTATTTATAATTTAGTTTTAATATATATTACACATAAAACAGCTCAGTACTATTTGAGTCAAAATAAGTTACCTTTAAGTTAATGCAGTCAACTACAACATTTGTAACTTCGAAAGTTTGTAACTTTGAAAGGACAACAACACAAAATTTAAACTATTTAATGATGGAAAACAAAACAGCAAGAACCCAGTGGGAGTCAAAACTGACATTGCACTTTGAAAAATCTGTTCATTACAAAAAAGAAACTACTGTTAGCTGTTAAGTACTCCTACATTGTTAGGATGCTATGCTTAGGTATTTCAGAATCATCTAAGACATGATCCTGTTAAGGACTTGGCTACCATGTAATACTCTACAAAAGCAGACTTTCTATGTATCTGAGAGACAGCATACTTATAAAATCAGAATACGTTTCTCAGCTCAAATTGAGACCAGGTATTATAAGCCTAAGTGCTGCTCAACATAGGCTTATACAGTCCCTATGACTTCATTTCTCATTCTCCAGCAGAGTACCGAGGATCAGCAGGAACGGGCCACTCCGCAGTTTCAGACTGCAGGGATGCCACCGGCTCCAAAGCTGGGACCTAGGGGGTTCTTGCTCATGTTCTTGCGGTCTGAAACTCATGTCGCACATGAACCATGAGCTGTCCCTAGCCTAGAGTTTCTGATGGTCAGTGTTCATCATGACTCCATAAAAGCAGTCCTTTAAGTTCTTTGCCAGGTGTTCAGAAGTGACAGATAACACGCAGAACTATGAGATCACAAGTTTTCTTTAGACATTTCAAATTGATGTTATAGATCAATAGACAGTAACTAAAGTTTTCAGCAATTTCCATTAGGTTTTCACACGTTCCTGAACAAATTGCACTCAAGTCTCTTTGGTAAACATCACTAGCAGCCTTAAGATAGAAAAAAAATGGATTTCCTAGAAATAAACTTTTTATGCCGAGCTGTAAATTTATTAGCTCTCAACTTTTTCTTGTGGAGCCCTATCTAATACGAACTAATATTTTCTTAATGTTTACAAAGCAAAGTGACATCTATCAGCAGTAACCTGATTTATGGGCAGCGAATTTACTTTTAGTTATGATTAACACATCAAATAAACTCCTCCAAGGACAGAGTGGCAATTATTCTTGAGTATTAAAAATATCTGGATTGAAGCAGGAAGTATTAAGATAATTGGAATTGATTTTGACGCAACCTTCTCATTCCTGGAACAAACAAGTCAGGACACTGCTTTCTGATCAGTGTATCAAGACTATGATATAATTTGTATCCCTGAAAATGAAACAGCTTTGCTCTGTGAGGGTATCAGTTGACTGAGCACCACCACACCTTGAAGATATGGCTTATTACGTAAGGAGTGTCATAAAAGTCGTTATTGATAAAGTCCTCCGTCACCACAGTCCTTTCTGAATCTACAAGTCCTAGGTGCAGAATTTAAGAAAGCGGATATACCAGTGCAATCTACTTCCCCACAGCAGGCATGTTTTCCCTTTCCAGCCCATCTATGCTGAACACGAGGGTTTACCAAGAATCTGACCATTCGTGTGATGATGAAAGGCACAGAATGCCAAGTATACAAAGCCTCTCTTCTTCTTTATGGATAAACAAGCTTTTAAGCTGATGTCAGTTCAATTGTACTCTGCAGTCCACCTAATGCCAAATATTATTTTGAAATAACCATACATGTAAGAACGCAAAAGCGTTGCACCAGGACTCGCTTGTGTCTGTTGAACAGACTATGCAATCTTAGGCACATCAGCTAACAACACTTCACTCAAGTAAAAGCAAACCAGAAAACCCATGAAAACCCACGTGCCAGCATCAACACGACTTTTCTGTCAATCTTTAGGCAGAAATAAAAGAAGAGGTGAATAACATTACCTCAAGAAAAAGATGGCTTACTTCTCAGATAACACCCGTGAGGTTTTATGCTAAGTCTTGCATCTTTGCCATATTGCCCAAATGGTCACTTTTTTTTTTTTTTTAACAACTTCAAAATATTCTGCCTTATAGAATATGCTTTTTTTGTGGGGGAAGGTGTAAGGAGAGTCCTGGTACTATGATATGGAAGTATGCAGATCAGATAACTCTCTAATGATGAAGTTAAATCCTTGGCTTATATATCTTGATGTGTCAAATTTTTATTATGCTTTCTCAAATCCAGAAGAACATGCCAGTTTCTCTTATTCTAAACTAACAGACGTGAGAACGGAGCCTTCTCAGTCCAAAATGCATCAAGAAATAAAATTATTCGTGCCACTGTCCTCTGAGATGAATACTTAAAGAAGATGCCCGCCTGTCCCCCCTCCCCAAATATCTAAGTGTCATGAGAAGCACAGAACCAAACAGCCATGTCCCAGTATGTTGAACAGACTTGTCTCAGTAGAGAACAGTTTATAACTTGGAGGAATGCAAGGATTTCAGCTTGAAAGAGTCATTGTTTAGGCTCTGTTGTAGAATACAGATAAAGATATTTACAGAGAAAATATCTTTCTGATATTGTTTGATGGAGAAAAGTGTCTCATGTTAGTGACAGGATTTTTTCTCCGCTTCTTTGGATAAAAAGCAGCATGGTTCAGAGGCATCCATCAGAGGTCATCATTAATCTTTGCAGTAATAAGATCCAGGCTCTTTAAAAGAGCTGGCTGTTAGTGGAAGATCTGCCATCACACTAAAACCTTTCAACTCTAGAGTTATGAGGAAACAGATTAGATTTTTTTCTATCAGTGGAGTGGGGGGAAACTGTTACTAGAGCTTGAAAACTAGAATCAAGAATTTAGGGTAACTTATGAAGTGGTGAGAAGCCAGGAGCATTACATGTATGTCATTTAAAAAAAAAAATCTTGAGTTGAAGACTAATTAATTTATGTCCATGCACAAAGCATGACGTGTTTTCCAGGTACTGCTTCCTGCTGTTGCTGAGGCAAGAGGCAATGAAGTTCTGCTCCTACAGATATGGTTTTCCTGTGCGAGAACAGCTGATCCAGGTATTTATTTTGGTGTGTTCCCAAAAGTTCTTTGTTATAGGAAGCCCCCAACACATTACAACACTGAAACAGAAGTCATCAGTTTATATGAAAAACATTACATCTCTTCAGTAATGATAAGGCTCAGCTATTCACTGAAGTCCATAACCCTCTCCCCCTCCTTCAAAGTCCCCATGACAAAAACAAATAACAATGATCACAACGTCAAAACAGGCGATCGATTTGAACACATATTCAGGTTTGCAGTTTAATGCAATCACAAGATTGCAAACCAGCTCACAAGTCACGAGAAGAAAAACCACAAAAATGTCTTAAGAGTGGAATTCTTGTAAAGGGGGGGGCTTTACAGATTCAGATGAAGCCCACGCTGCAATGCTGCCCAGCAGACAATCCCAAAGCTTCAAGAAAAGCGCAGATGCTGACATGCCTTCTAATATTTATGTCTACATGAACTCTCAGAGAAACCTCTTGATCGACAGAACTCCCCACAGGTACCCCCTCTGAGAATACAGGTATTTCTGAGCTCTGTCAAAACACTGACAACACCAAGTCTACTCAGTTACAAGATAAACCTTCATGCAAAACATCCTTATGACACCAGCACTGAAAGAACAGCAACATCTGCAGGTAACTCTCGATTCCGCCTGCTGGAACACATGCGTCCCACTGGACCACGTGCGTTTTGGTACCGTCCCAGGGTAAAACAACAAACCAGAGTAGGGAAAAAAAGTTTACACTGAGGATGTATGTGGCTAATACGTGAAGCAGGCCTCAGGCGGCTTGGTTAAGAAGGCCTCTTCAGTATCCTGGCTCAGGCACAGAGTGCAGCCTGAACTAGTTACAGTGTTTTAAGGAGACTGCTAAGATTGGATTTCATTACGGCATCCTCCTTTAGGTGGAGGAAGTTTTTCCCAGAGCAGTAATTCCAATAAGCCTAAGGAAAATGCAATCACCTTATTTCTACTACAAACTGAAACCTTACAATTGCTTATCAGTTTCTCCTACACAACAGTGAAATACTCAACTTCCCAAATGTAGGAAACTGTAAGAAATCCAATCTTTTTTTTTTTGGTTAAGGATTTACAAGTCTGTGGGATATGAGATGCCACAATACAAAAGATCCTACCATCTCACTAAGTGGACCACATTTAAAGCGGTTATTTAGGATTATCTGCTGATAATACTAGCACTGATTTCCATTCAGGGAAAACATGCTTACATACTAACAATGCTAACAACTAAAATTCCAAACTGAACTATTTCCTGCTCACCCCAACTCCTACATCATTACAGCAAGAATACTGGGGGCCTCCAATTCATACTCAGGCAAAGAATATCCAAGAATTCAACTCACAGTATTTGAGGCTGGTCTGTGGGATTACATACTTTAGAAAACATCTCTCTATATATAGAAATTCAAGTTGCTGTACAGGATTTTGAAAACAGACCTTTAAAGAATTCTTAGAAAGTTAGACATTTGTAAGGAAAAGATACTAAAGCCATTTAAGAAAGAAGAGGAAATTTTCAGAACTGACCTGTATTAACTCTTCTTTTTGCATGATCAGAAGTTGCCTTAAATATACATCTCTTTCCTGTATAAGGCAAAAGGTTTTCTGTCATCAAAAATAATTTTAAAAGAAAATACTGACTTGACTTAATCTTTTTCCCCACTTACGTTTTACTTCAGTTTTCAGATACAAGAACAACTGTACAACACCATTACCAACGAAACACAGGAGTCCTCCAGTTTAGAAACATCATGTGTTATGACTGACTAATAACCAAAACTAATCCACTGCAGCGTACCTTTATACTCCAAACATAACTTGAAATTAATACACTTATTTGAATTAATATTCTAGAAACAGAACTTCTGCTGATGCTTAAGGTGCACCTGTTTTCAAGAATTCCTTTACAGATAGCAGATAAATCACAATCTTACCTTCAATAATCCTATTAGGTGTTCTAGACCAAGACCATGTAAAAATACTTCCATGTCATCCAAAGCTGAATAGAAACTGTAAATATAATAAGATTCAAGGTGAAAACAATGGAAAATTAAAGCAAAAAGATATCCTCAACAATACATTGCAGAAAAAATCCCAGACAAAGCACTGTCAGACCTAAACCTGCACCTATCTACTGATAACAGTAGTCTCTCAAAAGCATCATGGAGTACAGCTTAACCTAGCAAAATTTCATAATTTTGTTTCTGGTCTATTAGGTAGAAAGTAGAGTTGAGCCTGAAGAAAACTACTTTCATAAATGAATGTCACTGTTTAGTAGCAAAACATTCCGAATGAATTTTAAAGTTGCTCACAAAAGCCTGAAAAATTTCTAAGTGCGGTTTAAGATAAACTGTGTGTTCCTATCAGCTAATCTTCATGCAAACTGGATTCAGCCCACAGCTGTTACCCCTTTAAACCAGCTCCATTTAAACAAAAAAACATTATCAAGAAAACAGGAATGCCTGTATTAAAGATAGCAGAAATCAGTCCAGTAACAAATTTGTTGTCAGAAGGCTACTGTTCAGAAGTTAGACTGATGAAGCAGAGTCACTCATAGTAAGTTCACAGTTTAACATTTATAAACAAAGATAAATCATGAATTCCCCACATTAGTAAAAGATATAAAAATTTTAAAGGTTTAAACAGCTTTCAACAATCAGATGAACAGTTGTAATGAACAGAATTAAACTAAAAAGCAAATGATACAAAAATCAAAAAGGACTGCTGCAATTGCGATAGCAATCCTTCACCAACATCTTGAATTTAGAGATAGTTTGCTCTGTCTTCTTCTTGGCCCTGAAATTAAGGTTAGCCTTTGATGTGAAAAGGAGGCAAAGTCATTAAGTTCCTACCATTAAAATTTGTTAATTTTTTTTTTTCTGAATACATAAGAAAACATTTCAAGTTTGCACACTGAGAATTCTCGGTAATTCTGTGGGCATACAGGGTCAATTTCAGCAGACAAAATATAGGAAGCATTTAAAATAGTTTTAGCAGAGTTTAAAGATACTGCCCCTACCACAAAGTTGGGCAGAATTGTGTCATTATCCCTCCCCCCACTGATGCCTCCAAACTGGGGCGAGGAGGTAAACAACCTGCAGTGATCAACTTTGCTTTTTATTTAGGCACTCAAAGCATCTAGTTGGCACAGGTCTGGGGAGTCCTTTGGTAACTCAAGGCTTGTAGGACAAGGAAAGGACATTTATTCAGCATCTGTACGTTCACTTGAAAGCCTCTCAACAAGATGATGACTCTTTAGAGAAGAGTAATCTGAAGTTTGAGAGAGCAAATTCTTGACAGGTGTTTGCCTCCTTGAACAGTACAGGCACCTGGAGCCAGGACAATTCTCGTTCAGGACAGCAGAAGGCAATGACGGAAGCTACCCTCACTACCTAATGATCGGAAACAAATGACAGCAGCATCGATGCCAGGTTATGCTCACTGACCATGCACTGTGGGGCACAACTGATACCCAGCACAAGATGATGCATAAGGAGCAGATCGGAGAGGAAATGGAAATTTAGAAGCCAACTGGCAACGCCTGTGATGAAAATTATGCAGACAAATGGCAGGAAGGAGGTACTCAGCTTGAGGAAATATGATGGAGTAAACAAAGGTAGAGCATACTTCTTGACCATCATCAGATGAAAAAAAACCTCACTCTTTGTGCGTGTGTGTGTGTGTGTAAATTAATAAACAACCATTCCCTCATACACAGCTTAACAGCCAGACATCCATTAGACTCAGAGGGACTGCTTTCTGGAACCAGGAGTCACACTAATCACCAGAAACGATACAGACAAAACTGGTAGAGTTTAGAAGCCTACTAATGCAGTGAAATCCTACAAGTGCAACTGCATAATACAGAGCTAGATCTGCATGGTCAGACATCTGGCTACCAAAAACTATTTAAGTGGGCTACAGGATTTCAGTGTCTTATTTTAAAAGCTTATCAAGATTACCAAGACATTGGTACAATGCCCTCTAGCCACCATCAGGTTTCAACAGCACAGAATTTGGATAAAGGCTGCATGGTGCTAACTCACTTCCTTATTTTATTGGTAACACGCAAGAACAAAGAGGACAGTGCAGATAACTGACTCTACAATGCCAAACCTTCACCCTGCAGCTCTATGAAGTACCTCTGAGATGACCACAGCTGAAGCCCCAGAAGATAAAAACCTTATTGAGGTAAACATTTCTCTAATGATCAAACCTGATGATGCTCTGTCTGAAACGAGGTGCCCTGACACTACCTCCAAACTGCTAGCTTGTGACCTATAGCCAGCCCCATGGTACGGAACTGTGGCATTTCAAATTCAGCATGACCTGGCTGAGCAGGAACACTGAAAACCAACCTGACCAACCAGAACAGACTGCAGAGAGACTATGGGCTCTGGAAATTGTCTTCTGAAAACTATGTCGCTCAAGGAGGAAAGTGAATGGTTTCTTGCGGACTTCTTAGCTTTACATTCTGGAACAGAACAGTGTCAGACCATCTTCAAGGTTGCTGAAGCAGGTGCTGAGTTCACCCAAAGAACACCTGTATGATTCAGAGTCACATGTACTTCACTTGGACTTTCTCAAGGCCACCCAAGTGTCTGAATACACGTGGAAGAAAGAATGGGGCACAGCTCGTCCTGGTGGACTAACACTGAAAACAAGCATTCAGTGAAAGCATTTGAAATTTACTATCAAATGAAGTCTATCAAATGTTCAGTACTATCAAACTGAAAAAAAGTGAAGTGGCACTGGACTCTACATCAAGTCAGAGGCAGGAAAGATCTAGAGCATGCTCACTGTTCATAATGCAAAGGAACTATGCGGTCTTGAAAAATTTAAAGTATATTAATATACTTACTGTGGCCTCTTGGTAGTGCTCCAAAATATACGCAACACGTATCAGTAAAACTTAATCACATTGATATGAACAAATACAATCTCTCAGGAATGTTTATAAACTGAAGTTATGCTATGACTTTATTTACCCAACTCTGTGGTCAGGGACAGCTGTCAGAAATTTGTAGATAGCCTCTTGCTTAATCGTTTCATGGTATTTCCCTTGTGAGTGATTTACAGCCAAAGAGAGTAAACTATAAATCTGAAAGAGCCAAAATGAATTAATTATTATTTAACTTAAAACGTGTAAAAAAATACACAGAAGTAAGACTACAAAGAGATCTATCAGAAGTTACTACACACAGAGAACATCAAACATCTGCCATCTCTTCTCTCTAAAAGAACTACAGTGAGGAGTTAAGACTAAGCCCAAAGAGCTTATCAAGAGCATTTCTGAATTAATCAAAATCAAAGCTCAACACTGAACTGATGTAAAGCAAAAGAATGTATGTAATGCAGTCCTAGAAGAGCTAGCATCCTGCATTTCAGAAGCAAAAGTACACCAACGTAATTATTAGTGGTTTGCAGACCAGAGTTCTACGCACTCAAGGGAGTAAGTTCTCTGAAGAGCTTAAAGCATAAAGCTGTTTAAACATCTCCATTTCCAGTGCATACACGGACCCAACTTTTAGCAGTTTATAACTGATGATCTAAGTTAACTGTACCTGATGGACAAGGACTCTTTCAACTGACTAAGAAGCAAGCCTTCCGTCAAATATCATTATGCATCTGTGACTGATTCCAGAAACTGAATTGCCCCTGCGTGAGTTAAGTTACTAGAGAATCTAGCAGAACTAGTGGAACACCCAGAAGTCCAAAGGAATGGTGAGACCAAGCTTCTGAAATTCAGGTGACCAGCCAGTTTTTTGTGCACACACACACACACATATATACATGGTAGACTGACTCTGTCTTGCAAACAAGCCTCCATGTGGCTGCTTGCTCACTCCCCATAATGTGATGGGGTAGAATCGGAAGACCAAAAGCAAGAAAAAAATTGTGGGTCAAGATAAAGTTTATTAGTGAAATAAAATAAAAAAAAAAGGCAAGTGATGCAAAGGTAATCACTCACCACCTCCCAGTAGCAGGCTGACGCCCAGCCAGTCTCTATGAAGTATCTACCTTGCAATCCCCCCCCCCCACGCATTTTTTTTTTCTGGCTGAGCATGATGTCACATGGTGTGTAACAACTCTGGTCAGTTCAGCTCAGTGCACCCAGCTGTGCTCCCACCAGCCTACTCAGTGGCAGGGGAAGAGTGACAAACAGCCAAGGTGCACGTGCATGAAGTGACACTGCGTAAGCACTGCTCAGCAACAGCCAAACCACCACTGCGACACCACCACCATTCGGGTCACAAATCTGGACAGCACCGTATGAGCTACTACAAAGAAAAACTCCATCCCAGCCAAAGCCTGTACAATATGCAAGGGAAAAAAATAAGCATCCTCCCAGAGCTAGTTTCTGCAGCCACAGCCTATGTGACAACCTATGGGGATGCCAACAGGATAAAGAGCAGACTCCTCATCTGGAGCTCAGGACCATTTAATATCTTGTAACATCTGCAAGACTTTGCAGTAACTGTACAAAAGCTAGCACTTAACAGGTCAGGAGGCAAGACCCACCTCTGAAACGGGAGGAGCCTGTTTTCCCTTCTGTCAAAGTCATGTTATAAGATTATACGGCCACAGCCTGCTGAACAAGTCATTTATCAAAGGCAGAAAGCATTTGTAGCCTCTTTCAGTAACCTGAGTTGACAGATCACTGAGCCTCATACACTGATCTTGCTAGCCTACGCTGACAACTTTGTGCATAGTTAACACTTCTGCTCCTGCCTAGCCCTATAGTCTTACAAGAAATAACAACAATAAAAAAGAAAAAAAAAACTAATTACAGTGAATCCCAATTCACTAAAGCAAGTAACATTCTTAAAGAGACACTGCAAAAACCCATGTCATTGGCAAGAACAACTCAAAGCAAAATACACAAGCCTGGTTTGTCTGATCCACCATGCATCATCCAGCAACAGCGGTAAACAGATTTATTTTAGGAAAATATATGCTGTTTTCAGCAGCTCTCTTTACGCTGATAATGAGTTTCTGCTCTTCCAATGATCTGATGACCAATTTATATTGCTTTAGACTGTCTTCTCTCCTGGGAACAGATTTGGAAGGCAGCCAGTACATACCGCTGACTCCCCTTTTCCCCCTTTTAGCTTTAGCCTTTTACCTTCCAAATTCAACCACAAACTACACACTGCAAAATAGTTTAATATCTACATTCTCTCACACACTTGGGCATACAGAAGGAAACATGTTCTTTTACTACTTCTCATATCAACAGTACCAACATTAATAATCCCTTATCAAATCTGTATTTCGAAGTCAAGGATTCTACAGAAAAAAGGGAATTATCCCCAAACTTAAAAAAAAAAAAAACACACAAGAACAAACCCTTAAAAGCATTCAAAGCACTGTCGTAAGTTGGGATATAACAGAAAATAGTCAGCACAGATGGAACAGGAAATGTATGCAACTAGCTGCTACAGTTTAGTTATTAAAGTAACACTTCTACAGAAAATTTCTGAGGCAATCTCAAACAAGTAAACAAACAACAAAATAAACCCAAACCCACAGAATCTGTATCTCAAAAAGAAATGAAGTACCTCTGAATGCTTATTGAGTTTTGCTAGCTCTGCTGCTGTCTTCTCATCCTTAGTCTGTAGATTTTTGTCAGCTCCAAGCTCCAGCAACTTAAAAATGACATTTTTGTGTCCATGGTGTGCTGCCCATATTAATGCCTGCATAAGAACAGTTTTGTTTTTATCCAGTTTACATATGAAGAAAAAAAAACAAAAAGAATAGGAGGTTCAATCAATAATACAACCTGCGTAACTTCTTACATGGCAGAATCCGGAGACAAAGATGGTGCAAAACAATCTCAAGGTGGTGGTAAAGGAGTGTAACTGAGCATTTTTGAGGAAGGTACACTAGAAACAAGCTTATGGGCTCCTGTTTGTACATTGTTTTTTAAACTTTAGTTAAAATACATGGAAGTAAATCACTTACTGAATATCCATTTTCATCTTGGGCATTTATGTGTGATCCATGAGCAACAAGAAGACCAACAACACGAGAATAGCCTTTTCTAGCTGCATACATCAACGGAGTCATTTGTCTCCTGAAAGGAATGGGGACGAGAACATCAAGATGTTAAAAGCGCACTGCATTATCAAGGAGGGCACCTCAATTCAGTGAAGACTTGAGTATGTGTAGAGCAAATCAGAGGAAGAAAGCTCATGACATCACATTCACACTTTACCACAAGGTTCAATTTAGCAGAAGAGAGATTCAACAACTTAGATCAGTTCGCATTTTTTAAAGCGTTTTAAGAGTTGGCATTTATTCTCTAAATGAAAGGAAGTCAAGTCAAATGGTGCATTGAAACAAAAATATCCTTAACCCTTCCCAGATATGAAACACAGGAACTTGGGTGACTAAACCATTTCTGATTTGGTTCTTAACTACGTGAAACTTTTTTTTTTCCTCTTTAAAGACCATCTCTCTTGATTCTACCAGAGACCCAGTGATGGGCCTCTCATTTAGCACATGGAGCAGCTTAATCAGGGAATAAGGACAGGTGTAGATCAGTGTTTCCACCTTATTAAAAGCAGAGAATATTATCAATTTGCCCATTCCTTTCATCTACATGTACTTGGGGAGTGGGGGAAGTAGCACCGCACCTTCACTTTTTACTTCAAAACCTTTTTTTTTTTTTTTAGAGAAACACAGTTAAGTGATTAATTCTATACATGGTTTAATTTAAACTGAAAGTTCCAAAAAGATTTACTGCAGTTTTGTGGAAGGCAAACTGTAAATCACAATACTCTTCTCGTTAACTATTCAGTTAAAAATAACAACTATGTATGTATTTGCAAAATTATCTCTGGTGAAAACAATGTAAGCCAAGAATCACAGGTCACACAACTCCTGTGAGTGTGCACAGCTGCAGTGTGAGTACAGGGTGCACAAGCACAATTCACATTCAAAATGTTACTTGGGTATACTCAGGTGAAGTCTTCAGAAAATTACAGGGAAACACCACACTAAGTTTGCTTTTTTTTTTTTAAATGATATTTTTTAAAATAAGTTTTTAAATGGTAAAAACAAATGTATATCAAAATATTTTTGTCCTTTGCCTCATTTTTGTTCTCTGTTCCCTGAAGTTTTGACACTTTCTCTCCCTATACATCCACAGGTGTATTATGTAAATATATATACATATATGCATATATACACAAAGTTATTTCTTGCAATTGACTAAGTAGTAAGGACTTACAGACACTATCTTTCCCATTATTTTTTTTTTATATCCCAAAACTGTGTTGACAACAGTCTACTAATCTTATGCTTCTACTCAGATGCTTTTTTATGGTTGTAAAATGAAACCACAGTGAGTTGGTTTGCATATTCTGAAAGAAAAAAATATTCCTCAAATGTTTCCATTTAGAAAAGTATTTTTTGAGAGTCCTGACACTTACCCTTTGACGGAATAAGACCAAAGAACTTAAAAGGGTTGGATTTTCTCATTGCTATGAATTAAGAAGTTATAAGCTGAAATATTTTACTAATGATGTCTGATTACAATTAACTGTATCTTAAAATGCATTTTTTTTTCCTTAAAGTGTTATATATTTTAAATGTACAGCTCTACGACAAAAATTTGCTGTCAAAAGTTTATGTTGCGAGGATACAATTTGAGGGACTTTCCTAAACTTTACCAGTTTCTTAAGTACAATGTTGACCAGTAGAGGGACCCCGAAAAGCATATGTATATCAAAGCAGATGCCTTAAAACACTGACTTTCTGCTTACTTCAAGAATATTGATAGAACTATGGCTTTGCTCATCTTTTTTTTTTTTTCTTATTCACAAAAGGTTCTGTTAGGTTAGTATTTTGTCTTACACAAGCACAGTTAAAAGTCTACTGAAAAAACAGGCATATAAATGTGAAGAAGCCATCTATTACTTGGAAATATGGAAAATGGAATGTAACTACACCTTCTCAAGATGCACATTTAATATGACAAAAATCTGGTAATGAAATGAAGAAGAGATTTGCACTGGTCTCCAATTTATTTTAGCCCATCAACCTTTTCAAAAGTAGAAGTTCTGACTGAATGTACAGAAATACTTTTCTTATAATAAATAGGGTGCATTGGTGGATTCTGATAACAGGGTCAGCTGGTGGAACTAGTTGCTCAAAGAAGTTTCCTGATCTCTTTCTTCAGCAGTTTTAGAGGCCAAACAGTAACCTAGCCTGATGTCATAGCTGATGTAGCTAAACGAAAATGCTGGACTAAAGAACTCCTGATGTCCCTTCTGACCTTAATTAGTCTATGATCCTATCAAGATTACTGCAAGAAATAAAGAAAAACACTCTATAGTGAGTCCCTCTAACCTAACTAAATAATGCTATATATACACACAATGTCTATATAGAGACAGAGACCTATAAACATCATCACCATTTTAAAGAATAAATAGAAGTTAATACAACCTAATAATTTGTAGCAACACAATCAAAAGGTACTTGCCCAATGCAGACATTGCTTCCCACACTTATTTGCATTTGGTGATAGGCAGCCTGTGACAGACTTTCCATTCTACCATCTTTGAAGTATTTCTGTCTACAAGAACAGTACATTCCCATCCATTTTCATTTATTCTGCTTCTAGTATTTTTTTTTTTTTAAACTTGCACACCGCTACTACATCGCAATTATCTTCTGCTTTTTCAAAGAAAAAATACTGAACAAAAGTCCAGAGGCAACAGAACACTCTTTTCTCCAAAGTACAACATGTAGAGGCTAGAACTGCACAGTACTGCAGGGATAACATCTGAAATCAAGGCAACAACTTGATGACGTGAAAGGCACTGAGAAAGTACTTCTCCCTTTCTAAGTAAAACCCAATAAATGTGATGTTTAAAAGGTCCACCAACACGAACAGGCAATTCTGACTTCACGCATTCCAGTTTCATTTACGTTTTAAATTGAAAAGCTACAGCCTGTTTCAGGGTAGAAACATTTACAGCACTGCTTAAATATGCAACTGCATTTATGCAGCAGAATCTATGAGGGGATACAATGCTATGTCTTTGACAAAACCACTTCTTTGGAAAGCAAGGGCCATTTACATGTATGTCTGAAAGTGGGAGACGAGCTTCAGAGAATAAAGCAAATAAACAACTTCGCTATCCCAACCCTGTAAAAAAACAAAAACAAAAAAAACCCTGCAAATAGAACTGCAAGGTTTAAGATCCAAAACATCCATCATTTCTTGTTGAAGACACAGTACATCTTACTACAACCTAAAAAAGCCATACACATAAAGCATAGTGATAACAATCCAAGTAAATGATCTGAAGAATCCTCTCTTCGTTCTGAGGAACCTTGCAGACACTCTAGTTTCAGCAACCTGGCTCACAGAAGTACCTGTGTACCTGTTTTGCAAGAACCTGCAAAGTCCTTTGGCGTTGCACAATTTGCCACATGGCATCTGCCCATGTTGGACATGATACTCAAGTGTTAGTCAATATAAAATAGATACAAATCTTAAAATGCACATAAGCAACTTATTAATCAAACATGATGTAAGTTGAACCTGTCGTGCAGAATTCACCACGTCTGACAAATACACATTCTTCTCGTTGGAATCACTCTCAAGCGAAACAAAGTCCACCTTTCTAGAAGATTCTCAATGAGGGAGGAAAGGAAGAGATGTCTTCCACTCACATGCAGGTTTCTTTCCATCAAAGAGATATTTGTACAAAATTCAGTAATGCAGCTTGGTAATCTTGAGAAGGATAAATTTTATTTAAAGTCTCACAACTGCAGAAAGGTTTATTTCCTAAAACGATATATCACTAACATCAAGGAAAAAAAACATAGCAGGTAGTAAACAACCTTATCAATTTAGTCTCTAATACTTTCTTCTTGAGACCCCAACGAGAGGAAAAGATACAAGACAGCAGTATTTTAATTAGTTGATCTGTGAACTGAATATTGGTTCAGGAAACCAAGAAGCATCTTCAGAAGCTTTTGGAGCCAGTTTCTTAACTCCAATGATTTACATTATGCTTATAACTGAGAAATGAAACAGTAGCAGTGTGCCCATAGCAACAGAAGTAAAGCTGTTTGTCCCTTTTCAAGCTTACTAGGATTTTAAGGAGCAAGGTGGAAAACTGTACAACAAACAGGATTGGAAGATCATACTTTAGCAGGTTGTGAGCTGCAATATACTTCTTTAAAATTTTTAAAAAAGCACTGTTTTCTTAAAAGCAAGGTGGTAGAAGAACATTCTACCATCTTGAAGGAGAACTTGTTAGGAGAATTAAGCATATAGTTCTAGTCAGAAGGCTGGGGTAGAATATATGTCAGGCTTAGTTTCAGACTTCATTTTAGACCACCGTTCTTCTATGTTTCTGTTTCTCAATATTTGCATAATTCTGGTAAAACAGATAGAAAATAGCTACGTAAGTTCTACATAACACAAGGAGATGAAAAAGTAGACAAAGTAATTTTCACACAGCTAGAAGTCTACAAAAGAGGTGATTATAAAAGTGATTAGCATAAAAGGTAACAGTGGGGACTGCAAATGCTATGACATGTTCAATCATCCTGCCCTGTCCTTCTACCTCCTCACACTGTCCCATTTTTACAAGCAAAGTGGTTTAGCTGGAGACGCAGCATATTCTGATGTAAAAGAGAAAAACAAGTAAGTAATCCACATTATCATGTGGAAAAACAAAAACAAAACACCACCACCAATTGTTTGCAAATAACCATAAACAATGAACACTACTACCAAAAGAAGAAGCCGAACATACTTGAGACAGAACCTTGCTGGTATAATGCTAATGGATCGCAGTGCACGTTTTGTTTGTTTTACAGAAAGGCTGCTCAGGGGACATCCCAAGACATGAGGGTATATTGTTCTTCTCAGAAAGCCTGTTGGAAACAGTGTCTAACATTGGTACTGTCCCAGAGTATCTTATATCTCTGCCTCTGATTAACAGTACCAAGCCTGGTGGTACCGCAGTGCATTCAATACTAGCTGAAAATAGTAGAGTCATCCAAATCGTCCATTTCTGTGTCTAGACTTCGTTCCACTACCGAAAAGGGTGATGAACAAGCTTCAACACTTAAGGTTAGAAGAATGGCTTTTAACTTACACATTTACTGCACGTTTGACTTTTTCCTAACTTCAATAAAAGGAGGGAAGACATACATGGCTATAGCCCAGATGAACACAGTACTTTTGTTAAGAGTAATTTTCCATCTGATTTTTTTTTTTTAATATTTAGTCCCTTTGTACTGATGTTTGACCAACATAATAAGATGTCTTTGTGAGTTCACAGCGCTAGAATAAGACACCCTCTTGAACTAACAAGGTCTAATATGCAATATCACAAGACCCTTTTCTTCCAGAAGATCAAAGATCTTTACTCAGTATTAAATGCCATGATTTTCAATCAGTATTAAATGCCCTGGCCATAAACCACACTGTAGTGCATTAATTTTTCCCAAACTATTTCCTTTGCTGAGATGTACTATTAGCCATTTGGCGTAGTTAACTATCACACCGCGATAACATCAAGGTCTTTAAAATTATTATGCAGCCATGCAGACTCACTATCTTATCAGTAGCAATAAATATCTTGCTAAAACTGAGGTGTTACACAATTGCTTTATTCTGTCTACGCAACCTGAAGAGGGACCTACCTTGTGAACTGGGCAATACTGAGGTGAAAATTTTACCCTCCCACTATCATCTGTATTTACAGTTGGAGTTCATGATTTTAGAGGTCTTTTCCAAACTAAATGGTTCTATGATTTTCTCAAGAGAGCAAAGTAGTCTAAAACTTCCATTGTGAAACAGTTACTGATACTCCTTAAAACAACTCACTTCTGCTTACATTTGGAGTAAATGTAGACAATTTAAAACCAGACCTGAATGGTGACTGTATTTTAACGTGCATGCATTGCTGTACTTTAACAGTATGCTTCCATCTCAGTTTTTAATCTTCACAACAACACAAATATAACAAGACAGAAGAAAATTCTGGTGTTATAGTACTTGCAAACAGAAAACCTTTTTTGAAGATTTTCTCCACTCACAAAATTCATAACCATTTTAAAACAAACACAGTCTTGGTCATTGACCAGGACTCAACTATACTAGAAATTTTAAGATTGAGGCAAAAAACGCCACACACATCCCACAGAGAACATGCAACAAAGAGCTTATTTCAAAATAAAGGAAGTTGCAGTCATTCACCTATTTGATGTCCTTCAACAAAAATCTATTGGCATGAAACATCAACTCAAAACACTGTCCTTACCTGCAAAGTCATTAGATTTCTTTTATTGTACTTAAATAAACAAGAATTTGGAGGGTATCATCATTAAAATCCAGGTCTACTAAACAACCTATGAAATACAATCCTAGGAATTGTTCTGTAATTTAGTTGTCAGTTGGTGATACCCTTTTACTTCTGTCTAAAATGAAGTCACAGGTTAATATTAATAAAACCAGTGTACCTTTTAGAAAGCACTGCAGGTAAAAAGAAGTTTTTAAAAAACAAAACCAAACAAATAACAAAGAGTCTGCTTAAATATTTCCAGGCCTTACAAAAGGCTTAAGTATATCATTTACATTTGAGAGCAAGGGGGAGGTAAATCGTACAAGATAAAAACATTTAATTTCTTAAGCTAGCATTCACTTAGATGAAGCACTCAGAGTACAGTAGCTCTGCAAAGACTACGTAAGAGCTGGTCTTACAATGCTTTCTCATTTCACCTATCCAATACCTTGTTTGTCTTTCAAAACTCTGCAGTTGGCACTTCTACTTTCATACACTACCTTCTCAATGAAACTGGTTTTATAGCCACCAGTATTTACTTCCTGACTTTAATTCAGCAAAAATAACAGGAGTTACTCTGCTTAATACTTTCTCCTTAGTATTCTATTCTATTGCAAAGAAACCATTTACCTATCCACTCTTAAATTTGTCTTCTTTCTTAGACTGCATTTCAAATAACAGGTTATTTTTTAGTACTCTTCTGCCTCATCATGCACACTTCATGAATTAGTCGTAAAATATTCAAATTCCTGTTTATCACCTCCAAATGATGTGAAATCGAAGAACAATCCATACGGCTTCACTGCCAGATCAACAAAGAACAAGTATCAAACTCTGTCTTACACCACAGTTAGATTTTCAGCTGTGAATTCACATACATTTCAGTTGCTGGTGGATGTAAGGGAAGATTCCTAAAATCACTGTTTTTTAAGTACTGAGACAACCAAATAATGCAAAGTTTAGTTCTTAACGTGCAGTGAACTGATCACATAGTGAAGACTCATGATAATCTCAACTCACTGACAGTTCAGATGTCTTCTTACGGAACGCTCTGATCTAAAAAACAGGTGAAGCAGGACTTGAGTGCCATGCAGAGGATTTGTTTAGTTTCATTATCTTCCCAGAATCCTGATGCGTTTCATCCCAGTGTTTCTGAACACACTGGAAGAAGTCCCCACAAAGCAGCAGCTAAACTGCCTAAGCAATTCTAATAATGAAGCAGTATGCATGAAGTCAAATACTGAGAAGGGAAAAAAAGGCAGCAGGGAGATTTTTGAAAAAAAAAATAAAAAATAAAAATAAATCCAGGTCTTGTCATCTAACTTCTACTTTTGTTTGGTTGAAATGCTACATTTTGGATTGTCAGTTACCTTTTCATTTGAGAAAGCAAGAACTACCACAACTGGACACTGGATCTGGTGCTAACATGCAAGTTAATTCTTGAGTAGTACAAGGTCTTAGGGAACAAAGAGAGACAGTAAATAAATAAGATCAACTATGCAAAACACACACTGAGTTTATAAATAAGGTTTTGCCCTTAAAATTCCCAACTCTTGTGTCAGAAGCCAATCTTTTTTTCTTCAAAGTTCAGCCAAAGGCCTTTTTAAGTGTAAACTTTCAGCTTTAGCTTGTTTTCAAACACCCAGGGCAAAGCTGTATAATGGAAAGATTTCCCCCATTTTTTCAGGCAAGACATTTATTTTAATACCCAGCTATCCGAGGGCAACAAGTTGTAATTATTTACAGTTTTCTTTCATGAGCAATTTTTAGTCTATAAAGAATGAATGGGGCATTTAATTTTGGTGCTGTAGATCAGTGCCACTTCAGCATAACTTTGTAAATAAATTATTATTATTATTATTGTTCCCCATCTATCAGTACTATGATTATAGTGAGGGTCAGGGCCCAGTAAATTAATTGAATTATTTTAATAAGAACCCACAGGCCTCCAATTCTGTTCTTTTTGTATCACTACACAGTCCACGTATTTTAGGTAATGTGGTAAAGAGGTGAAAAAGCTGTGGTGTAAAAAAGTAAGTTCAGTCAAGTGAAAAACAAGCAGTTTCAGTTTGAACTAAATAAAAAGCTTTTTTCTTCCATCAGAGGGAGGATACTTCATCATGGATCAGCCCAGAATTTCCTTCTTCATGATTTAAAACAAATCACTGCAGCAGCCTATGCAAGTACAGACAGCTTGCAATGCATTGCTTCAGACTGCTGAGACAGGACATGGTAATTTGAGAAACAAACTGTCATCTGTTTTTTTTTTTAAAGGAGATTAAAGCATGCTTGCATTAGAATAACTTATTTACAGAGAAGTTTATTCCTTACAGATATTCCTGTGGAAAAAATATAGCTAGATAATCGCAAAAAACTCAAAAGCAAAGCCTGAATTTAAATAAAGAATTAACCGATTAACTGATGCATTAACCCACATCCTTATACAGAATAAGAAATTTGCCTTCCCCAAATCATAGGGTATATTTCCTGTGCTTACACTATTGTCAACCAAAGGGATTAAAATAATTATCTTTTAAAAAAAAAAAAACAACACAACAAAATTAAGAACAAACAAAAACACCAAAAAACACAACACACACACACATTTAAATTTGATAAATTTGATCACACGCTTACTCAGGTGAATGACTATACTAGAAGAAAAAAACACCTGCACATTAATCTTTCTGTACATACAGAGAGCAGCAAAGTTACAAAAAGCTAATGAAGTAGACATCATCTTAAGTGGTAACAACTAAGCCTACAAATGTCTCTACAGTAATATTACGTAATACAGTGTTCACAGACTTTTTTTTGTACCTGCAAGTAAGGTTAGGGTCGACATTCCTTGTCAGCAGTAGTTCCACAGTCTTCAAGATGTTTTCCTCTGAAGCATGAGCAGCACACGCTGCCATCAGCACTGTGTACTTATCTGTTTGGAAACTTGCAGTTAGAAAATTGCATACACCAATACTATGCTAATCCAAAAGTTCCTTTAAAAGCCTTTACGTTTGCTAGATTTGTTTATCAGGTGTTGATAAACTAAGATTTAAAACAAAAATGTAAGAAACTTGTTTTTCTTCCCGTAAAAGTCACTAGAATTATCAGGTAAGATAAAGGCATCTAAAAACAGAAGACAAAGACAGGAGTGAATGAGACTAGTAGAGCATCTACCACTACTGAAGGTGAGGATGCTTGCTTACGTGGTGAAAAAAAACCTGCAGGAGCTTAAATTTAGGTATCTGTTTCTAAAATCTTGGTCCACACCAGGAGATTCAATCCCTGTTCCTCCCTACCTCTCCCCAAAACACAGCCAAATGAAGAAACATCTTACTGAAGTTAACTGCAACAGATTAAAAAAAAAGTGCATGCAACAATTTTTTAAAAAACACATAGCAACATCAATTGTAGGGAGAACAGGGGTCCATACAAAGGACAGTTCAAGTAACAAGGCTTTAGTAAAGGGATGAAGGAAAAGGAAAAGTTTACAAACCTAGACTACTATTGTGCAGTACTGGCAAGAAGAAGATGACAAAAGGAGATATGTTCCTTAAATCCACATCCACAATACGTAAAAAAAATCATCATGAGGAACCAGTGTTTTTCTTTGCTCCAGCTCCAGAGGCAGCTGGATGTTATGTGCCACCTTTATTCATGGATCACAACTGCACACCACTGCTGTTTGCCCACGGAACAGGGGAGATCTTTCCTATTTTTCTCCTACAGGTATGTGGAAAACATCACACCTCAAGGACCTTAGCAAGCTCTTTGGCTTAGAAGACTAGCATTTGAACAACTGCCCACTTCGCTTATTGCACAAACTTACATGCAAGCTCAAACATGCCTTCAGCAATTTAACAAGTATAATTTTAACTGTACATACTTCAGACCAATCCTTGAAGTGTTACAACATATTTTCTACCTTTCTTATAGAAATCTTAGGACTGTGTACGCGCTAGTACCTTTATTCTTCAAAAGAGATCAGATATTTTTTGCATTTAAACTTGAGAAGTTTATATACTTCACCCCAATCTGTTCCACTTTCTTTGCTTCTCCCAACTTCTTGTCTTTGACTTCTCCAACTTAAGACCTTAGGTTTGTGTTTAAATTCACCTAGGTTTTTATAGACCAACCTGCAACTTTCAACCTTCTCACACAGAAGTTGTAAAACACATAGATCAGTGTATTAAATGAAAAAGTAAGTTTCATAGAGTCACTTAAACTCCTTAACGGTAAGTAATTAGCTTTCCAGTAAATAATTTCATTCACTAACAGATTCTTGCTCTAAACATTTAAACTGGTCATCAATAATAACATGAACTGAAAGCTGGCTGGACTTTGAGCAAAAGAAAGCAATAAACATCATTAATCTGGGAATTACATTTAAGAAGAAACTGTAGTTATATTTATATTCCATAGTTAAAATAGTGATAAAGGGTGGGAAGTTGATTTCTGCTGGCCTACCTACAGGTCATACATAAGCAAGAGAAGAAGAAACACCTTAGAACACTCAGGTTTCTCTTCTGCACAGAAAAAAAATAGTAAGAGTAGTCTGTGGTCAGGCTAGCTGAAAAAAAACACACACAGAAGAAACAGTGAATTTACTCCTTCAAGATGCTACATTCTGATGCCACCACACAGCAAATGCTACCATTAGTTCCTCATTCTTCATGACAATTGAAGTTCATTCCACTATTAGGGTAAAATTAAGCAAGTAGCTTACAAAGGATAACTGAAACATGACAAACAGTGATTAACAGTAGAGCTGTTGTTAGGATTATAAGGTTATAACATTACTAGTATGGGATCCCTCAAGTGATTGCCAGCTCATACAGAACAACCAGGACTGATGACATTTAGTGCCACTTAGGGATGGCATAGCTGTACTGAACACATTTGGCTTGACCTGAATCAATCGCTTGCAAGACTGCTCCTGGCTGGACAATGCTCAGCTGTGCCCTAGCTACTATTTTGATATACAAACCAACAAGGAAACAAGCTGAGAAACCTGATCCCAGCAAGGTGACACTTTGGTCAAACACAACTGGTCACAGGGTGAAAAAATGCCATGCATGTTGGTTAACTGGATGGCTGAAAATGCTGCCCACAGAAGTTTCTGTCCAATTTTACAGCTCTCTACAACCATAAACATGGAACAAGCATGAACTGTAGCAGCCACATGAAAGTCCTCTGACACTGGCTAAGGACAGTAATTTGAAGGCTTAACTGTCCTTGGTGCAGGCAATCTACTCTTATCTCAGACTGATCAGCTCCTAACAAGTTCAAGAAAATTTTAGAATCCTGATTTGTACCACCTGCACTGCAGTCTACTACTTCGATTACAAATACTGGCAGTCTACTGGAAAATAAGAGCACTGTTTTTATGTACTTCATAGTAACATGTTTCATCTGTTTCTTCTGTATTGCAATGTCTTTTCTAGAGCTTGGCTAAGTTTTCCAACATAACAAAGCAGAAGAAAACACTACAGTTGAAGCAGGAGAGAGTTATTAATGAGCTATAAAAACTGAGAGAGGAACTAGTAGTATTGATAAGTTCCATTAAATTCTTGCCAAAAACCCAGATTTGGCAACACACTGAAGAGTAATTTTCACTTAACATAAAACTTTTGCTCTAGTTTTATAGAAGTCTACAATAGTTTCCCATTAACTGGACAGCTACTCCTGCAAGCACATTATTTCTTCAGTTAATGCCAGAGGAAGGGAATTACTCTTTGTCACCATGTTGCAGGCCTGACATGTGACCTATTCTTCTGATTGTTAGGGTGTAGTCATTTAAAATATAAAAATCAAAACCCATCATTAACCTAAAACCTAGTGCTTATTTATTACTTTGGTCTAAAATGAGATACAGAGTGATCACATGAGCAGGTCAGCTGGCACGTTTGAAGGCTAACAATGTGTGACGAGAGCAGAAAGCAAACAACTGCAGCAGGAGAAGCATCATCTATGGCCTTAAAGATGAATCTATTGCACATAACCAGCTGGAAAGCTGAACAAAGGAGTAACGTTTTATAGGAAAAAAGCACTTCTGTTAGGTTTAGAAGGGATGAAACAACGTTGTCATCATGAATTTAAAAGCACTGGGTACCACCCAAAATTCAGGATTCTAGCTGTTTTCTGCATTCATAACAGGATCAAACAAAGGAAGTTTTAACTCTACAACTTCACCCTAGGATTCTTAAACAGGTATTTTCAAACACCACTTTAAAAAATGTACCTGGGGATCAGGAGGTGGTATGGAAGACAGAATGAGAGGGAAAGAGAGAGACAGAATAAGGATATCCATCAGCTGAATCCAGATGAGATCCAAGAATACATACATATATTACTTCAGAAATACTACTTTTGCTTTAAAAATCTAGACTATATCCCAGTTCCATTGTGATCATTTGATTTTTTTCTCTCTACATAGAAAGAGAATAAAGGTAGGACAATGTCTGGCACGGAGAGGTACTGGCCACTATTTTTATTCACATCTTACCTATTTCAAAGCATGCATTGGCACCTCTGTCCAGAAGGAGACGCACCACTGCAAAATCAGCCACACTGGCAGCACACATCAGGGGAGTCCATCCAAACTGAAAGCTAGATTCTATGCTTACACCTGTCAAAATTTAAGATACTAAAATCTTTAAATTACATCAATAAATCTTTTATAAAAAAGATTTTATAAATCTTATTCAAATATGTATTAGCATTAAGGTTACACAGTTTCCACTTAGTCCTAGGGAAAGGAAAGCCTCTTATACCACTGTTGTTTTTTAAATACATCCTCCTCTGGAATACCAGAAAACAACTTTTAGAACTGACCCCAAGGAAGCCCAGTACTCAATCCAAGTAGGTAAGCACAACAGAAAAGCATTTAAATAATAATAATAATAATAAAAAATAACCGCAAATTAATTTCAGAGAAGTGAACATAATCTGTTTTCTCCACTTCAGTGCTACAGCTTTTCTCAAACTAAACCCCCAAATTTTTATTCTTACCAAGCCAAATGGGCTGCTGTGGAAACACCGTGTCTGTCATATATTAAGACCATACTGACTAGGGTTTTCTGGCTTCATGGCTCCTTTTATTAGCTGCCTTCCAATGCAGCTAAGCTGCAGATACTAGTTTTGTGTTCAGTACTATGAAAATATTATCTCCAAAGAAATATAATTTACGGTCTCTTCCAACCCAAACCACTCTATAATTCTAAGATAAGATAATGCAAGATTCAGTCACCACCACCAGCTTTGTTAGCCTGTATAATAGTCACAGCCTCTTCTGTGGCTAATAATAAACTGGCCAGACGGCACTTCCAAATTCACCAAACATGGAGTACCAGACCCAGCAACTCATGTGACAACTTTCAAATAAAAATCTTTATAGATTTTTGCAGTAAGAGAAAACATCCCTTTACTCATCCATCACGTATTATTTCCTCTATCTATAGCAGTTGGTTGCCATCAGCTGATTCCATGTTAGTCCAACAGTGATATGGATTACTAAATATATTTCTTTACAAGAGGAAGTTGTGGAAAACACTGTCCTAAGAAATTTGTGACAGTCAAGCTACACACAAACCTTTTCATGCAGAACGCGTATTTACCTTCCCTGCCTAGATAGCTTGTCAAAGATCTGCTCATTGTAGCAACATGAAGCCATTAAAGCTGAGAGTAGAAAGTCACCGCTCTGCAATTGATTCTTCAACTGTTCAGGATCAGGAGTTGTAATCAATAAAGAGGAAGCATTCAACGAATGCCAGGTTTTGAAGTATTCTAACACCTGCAAGCCACAGAAGCTATGATCAAATCCTTTCAGTAATGCATACATACTAGCTGCAATCCTTAATGCCACAGCATTCCTGTTTGCCGTTTACAAAATCGCTTCGCTGAGGCCCACAGCCAAGTTCCATAAGGTGAGCCAGTAACTGTGGGTGAGGACTGCCAGTCCCTCAGCAGTATCTGAACTTCCTTGTAGACAAGTCGCTTCAAGTATCTAGAAAGTTTGATATCCCACAGCCCACTGAACTAACACCGCTAGGAGTGGAGTAAGAGAAAGCCGGCACTCTCAGCGTTAAAAAGTCACTGTCTCTCTTTAGAAGAAAAGCAGTCCAAGTGACTAGAGCTCCCATCCAGAGCTTTTTAATACATATTTGAATAATAATAGCAAAAGACCTACTAGGCAGGCATTCAGATTTACTGGAACACTTGATAAAGTGCTTTCCTTGCTGCTTTCTTTACATATATAGTGTACAGTATCAGCCAGAATGCTGGTGCTTTTCCTAAGTTTTAAAGGTAGAATGGTCTTTTTTTGCAAGGCAACTTTGAAATGTCGAAGTTGCATTGCAGCCTGTCACACATGGCCTGCTGCTGTCTTTCTAGTGAGTGCCTTGAAGCATTTATGCACTGTGGAAGTCACAACGCAAACTGTTATCCTCAGGGGAAGATTGAGAAAGGACAATTAAAATAGTATCAACACTTACCTGGCTGTTTGGCTGCATGGTTACAGGAGCTGTTAACCAAGCATCTCCAACTAGTTACTGCTCAAACTCATTGCATGAGCTGTTTTCAAGTGCTCATTTGGTATTAAAAACACCCTTATGAAGTCTGATAAGGTAACAAAGAAGCCCAGGGGAAAAAAAAAAACAAAACAAAAAAACATTTAGGAAAAAATGAGGCCAGATCAGCCAGCCTGCTGCAGCTCCATGATCCCAGGTCCAACCAGTACCAAGGCTGTGTGTGTAATCCCAGCAGGCACGCACAGACCACACAGACACCACCAGCCCCACAGACACACTCAGACAGACACACAGAGCGCTCACATGAACACAGCATCGATGGCCTCACCCTGCTCCCCTCTCTGTCCGAACAGAGGGCTCCACAGCCCACACATGCATCGCCCTGCTTCCCACTTCACTCACTGGCTAGTCTGGCTTGATCTTTGCTAGTGATCACACACCCACTCGCACACCTTAGTGCAGCTTCTCTGGTACCTCGTTCAGGTATTTTGTTGACTGTGGCTAGTAACAGCAGTGGTAGGAAGGCTATTTTTAGAGAGAAAAATGAAACCTCGAATTCAGCAAGTTTAACAAGGAAGAACTACGATCACATTCTGCATGTACCTTTTCACGATAAGTAATTCCAGGGATGATACAAAAAAATGTAAGGTGCTGAAAGGCTCTTAGTTTAAGAACCGCTTCTACTTTTAGAATCCATTCACATTCAGTCTCAGTTTATTTGAGGGACAACATCTAAAATGATTGATACTGGAAGACTTCTTTTCTAATAGAAGTATTGATTTAAGTCTGTCAACAGTTACTGCTGTGGTTCCACAACACCTTAAAGCGAAGTTAAATAGCACTGCTGCTGTCTCCAATGCTGGCCCACCTATGGTTCTCAGTTTGAAGTCCTAAATGGCTGAAAAATTACTCATTCCCCACCCTCACGTACATAGTTTACTGTTACTTTAGTTGTCTGAACCACCTGCACAAGACCAGATGAGCTCCGACAAACACACAAAGACAGGTGTGGAACAGACTGCTGAGAACAAGAAAGGAGTGCCTGTATTTGTATCTCTGATCAGCCTGAACTGTCACAAGGCCTTAACTTTTAGTCCCATTTGAGGAAAACATACAGATTATACAGTAGTAAGTATTTTGCTTCCAGAGCAGACAAAAATGCCAGTTAAGAGTCACCGCCACACCTTCTACTTGCTTGCAATACTTTGTGACACACACTTCAGGAAACTGTTCTTAGTATGTTAGTATTTAATAGGAGAGATTAGAGAAGACTTGTCCATTTCCTAAAGGAGCTCTGTGAAACTGCCTCAGCACCACGGATTCTTGGAGCAATTGCTATGCAAGCCAGAAGACAGCATGTTCTTGTTCTACCTGAGGGAATGTCCATAACTGTTGCTAGGAAATCCACTTCCAACACAAACCTGGAGCTTGGTGGAGAGCTGATAGCACGCCTTCTGCAAGCTCTACTGAACAGAAACTAAAGGCCACTTTGGAGGCAAAGATTTCATCTGACTAAGCACTAATCCTCTGAAGGACAATGTTACCTTTCGTCAGAGAGGCATTATGTTCCACTGCTCTGCAGAGGCTATACTCGATGTGTTAAAAATTAATCATAATCTTAGGAAATTTATAGACGCTTTCATGACACTCACTGCCTTGTGCATTTTAGAGAAGACGCCAGACTACAGGAATTTTCACCTTCCAAATGGCTAGAACAACTCATTATGTAGCAAGCATTAACACAAAAAGGTTTGATCTGAGCTATTACTGTTTTGCTGAATAAGCAGTTTAGAGTGGCTAACTGTAACAGAACAACTAAGCAATCTAATGCACAGGTATCACTAAAAACTCTACATGAGAACAGATTCATTCTATGCAAGACAGAAGATACATTTCACACAGTATTCACACACTGTGTTTCAACTTGTGCATTGTTTTTGAGTTAATACTGATTTAAAATAAAATTATTCCCTGTTGGGGTGAGAAAGTCTTCTCCTTGAAGGGCAAGTAATGTCACCGATTTAAAACTCAGAAAAACCCATTGCTAGCTGAAAAAAATACTTTCTTCCAGCCACAAGACACATTTTCTCAGAGAACAAGCTCACGACTACTTATTCTGCTTGTTTGTTGAAGCAAAACTTCCTGATAATCATCACTAGGCAGGTCACATCAACTATGCAGCTTCTGATTGCTCTGGATGCTTCAGTAAGTCCAATCCTCCTAACGCTGAATAGCAGAAACACATTACAGAGAAATACTGAGTAACATATCATGGATAAAAGCTTTTAGTGTCAGGACAAACTACTTTTTAGTGACAAATGCCACATAAACCCTATTAGACCTTTTGGAATCACAAAATCTTTCTCCAGCTGATGTTGCCATGACACTTGGCACGTACCAGATACTGAAGTATTAAACATGGCACTTGTGAAAATTAAGGTATTACAAATGGCACATGCCACAAATTTAACAGTGCTGTGGTCAAGAAAAACATAGAATTTTCAAACACACACACACAAAAAGCCGATGTCCTTCCTTCTCCCCAGCCTCCAAAGTAGAACAACAAAATAAAGAATCCCCACTCAACTCTCACTCTCAATTTAAACAACCTCAAATTCAGTGTTTTTGGTAGATATTTTCAGGTTAGAGATACATCTGAAAACAAACACCTTATGTAATTGCTCCCACATGACAGCTTTCTCAGTTTCCTTGAGTTTTGACTGACAAAATAAAATAAGTATCAATTAGAAGGAGCTTGCAGAAATACATCATGCTGAGACACTGAAAAAAAGCAATTTCATCTTTATACCAAGAGTTTTTATTCCATATTGGACATATTCACGTATTCTTACATTGACCCAAGATGTTACTTTGAAACAAGAAACTTCAGAGATTTAGAATTCTTTCCAAGTTCAAGCAAATGTATTCAACTTCATAAATAACTTTAATTACCTGAGTTTAAGAGTTCTTCTATCAAGGACACATCACCATGAACCAGAGCTTTCTTGAATGCATCCTTCTTGTCTAACTCCAACATTTGATCCAACTGATAGACAGACAAAGAAAACTTAAGTTAAAAACATGGTAACTATTTCAAGCTATCGACTACAGCTTGATTTCAGTATAAAAGCACTAATGATCTCTGTAAGGACAACACAGAGAAGTGAAGGAAGAGAAAGGCGTTGTTAAGACTTTACTTCTTCCACCGTCCACCTCCGAGGACCTGCTTGGGCTCAACTGTAAAAAAAAGTTTTAAGATGACCTTCTCAGAAAGGTTCCATTCTCTGAAAATGCAACTATCTTCCTTCTCAATGGATGTGCTATCCTCCTACAGTGTTTGCAGATTTTCTTAGCGGTGTGTTCTTTCAATTAAGACTCTTTTTCATATTCTGCTGCTAAAACAATATTGCAACACATTTCTTTACCTTTTTTGCACATTTCACATGCTGTGAAGTGTTAAAAAAATAAAACTAATATAATTAGAAACAAAAATTGCAACGTGGGGCAGCGTAACCCAGTGACTAGCTGTGTGGCATAGCCCTGCATTTCATGGCTGGAAGGGTTAACGTGGTTATTCCCTCCTACTCCTGTGATGGCAAAAGACTTATAATTGCTGTGTCATAAATGAGTTGGCTAAAAACTGATTTGACCAAAGGACTAGTTTACGATTCAAGCCGTTGCCTGTCTCACGTTCCTTTCACAGAAGCATCACAGATTTGTTCTATATTAAAGCTGCAGATGCAGATTGCTGCTGGCATCATCCCAACTAGAAGTGATTACATACACCAATGAATCAAGGAATATTCACTAGCTTCTTTGCTGACAGAAGAGGGTATAGTCAGAAGTCGTATTCTGTGGTGAATTTTGGAGTTGTATCACAAAGACTCAGAATTATACCATTTCCCCCAGGGTACTGTAGTCTTTCCCACATTTTTTGCAGAGTTCTTAGTAACTAATTAATGTATAGACAATCAATGATAAGAAACAGCCAATAAATTAATTTGGATTTATTTATACTCTACTTAACCATCAACTTCCAAATGACGCATATCTTTGGGTAGGAACCTCGATTTAAAGATCAAGGCCAGTGAAAAATTGACTGTAACCTTTAGCAGAGTACTGCTAATTTTAACCTTACTTCCATTTTCTAGCTCCAGCCACGAGAAAAAGCCATGCAGGGCCTCCCTTTGCACTATCCCCGCACTATCAAATGCCTCATGATTATCAGATGCCATAAATCTCTTACGTCTTCATATTAGGACAAAACATTCTGAGATTTAAAACATAAAGCAGCTTTCTAGGCCTCAGGTCTCTTTCAGATTCATTCTCTCAGGGGAAGAGTAACAGGTTTGCCATCAATAAGCAGAGAAATCATTTAAGAGAAACGCAAAGATTTCACATAAGAAGTCAATCCTTCAAAATCCAGGTTTTATATGCCTAGACCAAGGGTATTCCACCACAGCTTCTAAGAAGAGACCCACAACAGAGACGGGGGGTGGGTCTCAAGCCCTCTCCCCTCAGCCACCACCCAGCCCCGGCTGGACGAGGGCTCCGACAGCGGCAAGGCCTCGCCCCACCTGCGCCTCATCCCGCGGGACGCCGATATCCCAGCAGTCGTCATCGCTGTCGCAGTCCTCGTCGCAGCCCGCCGCCACGCGAGCGCCCCACGACGCGGCGGAGCCCCGCGACATGGCGGCGCCCCCTCACCACACACACACACAGGCGAAATGGCGGCCGCGGCACGCGCCCGGCCGGCGTCGCCTGGGGAAGGCGGGAGAGAGGGAGGGGGCCGGAGGGTCACGTGGTCCCGCCGCCTTCCCGCGCGAGGCGAGGCGGGGCGGGGCGGAGGGGCCGGTGGCGGAGGGAGGGAGGGCGCGCAGGGGCCCTCGTGTGGCCCCTGAGGGGAAGGGGGGAGCTGCGGCAGCGGGAGGGGAGGGGAGGGGAGGGGAGGGGAGGGGAGGGGGCTGCCCTCGCGGTTATAAGGGTGGGGGAGCGTAGCGTGTTTCTCCGTGTTTCAGCGGCTTTGTAGGGTTGTTGGGTGATGCGGTAGGGCAAGCTATGATGTCCTTCCTGGTTATGAAGTGTTTTTAGACCTGAAGGAAATAAAAAAAATAATAAAAGCTTTCTCTTGTTTCTGTCATCATTTATACGCTTCTAAAAAGCCAGCTCGTGTGATGTAGCAGCAGTCAGTCCCACTGCCCGTGTGTGTGCAGGCGCTGTCACCAATGGCTTGGCAGTTCTGAGGGGAAGGCTGAAGAGTGGCCACATGCGCTGTGATGAGCATGCACCCCGCTCCCTCCTGCCCCCGTGTACAATAATTCCCGTTTCAGATCTGCAGCTATGTTTCTTTATCATCGGTGATAATAATGTCTCCTCCATTACAAGGTTCACATGAAGCCACTTGAAAAACAGATGAGGAACAATGTTTCGTATTTCATCCATAAGCAAAACTGCGCTTCGAGCTCAGTGCGGACCTTGCCCGAGTCTGAAATGAATTTGGTCTTTCACCTAATGAAAGAGAATAGAAAAGAAAAAGACTAGTCTTGGTAAGGAGGCAGATGCTCACGTGGAGTATTTAATACAGTCTTTGAACCTATGACAGTGTACAAGTGTAATTTTGGGGAAATTCCTTTTAACCAAAATGTCACCCGTATTGTAGGTATTTCTTCGCTTTTACATTCTTGTAAACTGCAGTGCAATATGTAAGGTGGCTTTCACTGTATTGGGAGTTTGCAGGTTAGTTAAGGTCATGCTTAAAACACACACGGTGCCATAAAATCACAGGTATTCAAAGAGAATCATGGTGTGATTGGTAACGTTTACTGGAATAAATATTTTTGTAGCCAGTAAAATTTATGGCCTAGTCATTTAACTTCTTTGGATCTAAATGGGTCCACCAGTCTTCCCAAATATTGTCTCCAGACCAAGAATGAAGCTTCCATAATATTCTTCCTCTCTTTGGCTCAGCTGTGATAAAGAACATGGGCTTGCTCGTAGAATTCTTGTCCCTGCTAGCAGAATTTGGAGCTTCTGAACACTAAAGACAACTGAGGGCACCTTTTACAGTTGTTCTGATGAGGGCTGGTTTTAACTGGTTATGTTATTTATGGATTCTTTACTTTTAATGTACTGCTGGCTGTTTAGTGTGTGGGTATTTCATGTGGTTTATTTGTCCTTGTTCAGGCTTCAAAGCTTGAAATCTATTGTTTTCCCCCCTTTTCTTTGTACCATCTCATGCACAATTTAAAACATCACAACTGACACTTTGAATGCAGCCTACATGCTGCTTCCTTGTTCAAAGGCCACCTATCTTAAAAGGTCTCCCTCAGTAACAGCCCTGGTAGTCTTTAGGACTGCAAAAAATAACCCCTTTCAAAATGTCACCATGCAGAAGAGCTGTGCAGCCAGTGCACCTGACAGCTGTTTCAAATGTACACAGTCTGATAATGCAGAAATTTATAGCAGGTAATCTGTCATTGTGTGTCTGCTTGGGACTGTAAAACAAACATTGATGTGGATGCTCCTTCTTCTTCACACTATTATTAATCCAATTCATTTGTGACTTTGAAGTCTGACTTAACTTTTCAGCTAAGCAGACTCTTCATTTTGGTTAATAGTATGGTAAGTTCTGGCTGTCATCCGTATTTACCAAATATCAGTATGTTTTTACTTAGTGCGGTGGGAACAATTCCCAGCATCTTTTCCTCATTGCTATGCTGTACTCATTTTACACACAGGAGGCAATTATGGAATGGTTCAAGCTGGGAAAATGGCTCGGAATAATTTTCTGTATCACAAGGGGCATGAGAACAGGCTCTAAACGCTAACTGTAAAATAAATATCTAATCTAGGTGTAGTCTACCTCCATGTACTTGTATGTCAGCCTATAACTAAGTACACTTGTTAGAATTACAGTGGATAGTTAGAATAGCAATCACTGGACTCATTAAATACCAGCATTGTAAGAACATGTTTTTCTCTGAAAAAAAAAAGAAAGAAAAAAAAAAGAATTTAATACACTCAATCATCCTTCACATGAACCCACCCTCTTTCCTGGCTGTACTTCAGCTTGTTTTCATTGATCAGCTGAATTTTTATCTTCTTTCATGACTTCTACTATTAAATAGATTTCATTTGTTGGCAGATTTTTTTTTCTATCTTTTTGTCTATACCTCATGTTTTGTCTCACATGGGCCCTATGTATGTATATCTATTTATTCAAATATGGTCACCAAAATATTTAAACTGGTTAAATCCCCTCTTTCAGACCAAAAGGTCTGAAATCAGCAAACATCTAAGGACTTTGATGTTGGGAAAGTAGTGTTCTTGGGAGGAGAATCAGAACTGGTAAATGTTTAAAGAGTGACTCTGTGAACCTTAACTAGTGCAATAATGTTCTACTAGCAATGCAGTAGCCAATAATTTAGAGATTTAACAGCAGTAGCATTTTACACATGTGGCATTCTATGTAATATTCTCAATCCCAGCTACTAGTTTGTCTAACAGTCTATGCCCTTGCAGTATTATTATTCTTGTAAAATTTCCATCTGCAGTAACATTAAGATACAGAATCACCGAATTTTTACAGTAAGATTAGCTAGATATAACTTTGACAAAACCTAACTGTACAGTGGGACAACTGATAAAAGGTCTTAAATCCATTCCTTTTGTGCTCTAATTGACTCATGCAGAGGAGGAGAGAAGTCCTTGTGCACTCCAAAAATTACAAGACTTTGTAACTAACTGTATTATTCTCATTCCCAAAGAGGATTATTAGCTCTGGATCTAGTGGATTGACTAATTTTCCAGTAACTGCATGGGGTTTGTGAAGTACCAGCTATGAGAGACACCTATCCTAGTTCCACGATTCAAGGCAGGAATTTACATAATTTGCAAAAAGTTCCAAAAGTTCCATGAGGTAACACAATTGATTGTATCTTCACAGGCCACATTCGCCAAATACATGGAAAGCAAAGTACTTCATAATAGTTTAGGTTGTTCCTGCCCTTTTCAGCAGACTTGTAAATACCTGCAATATCTATTCTTTTTAAGGTATTTCAAATATAAAAAAAGGCTAATATTACAAACTTTCTCTTCTATTCCCTAAACTGGAAGGCATTTGTTCTGTAAAAAGCACTCAAGTGTCCCTCCTGTGATCTGTGAAATCACTTTTTGCATTACAAGTTTTTTTTTTTTTTTTATTTTATTCTGAAATTTTGTTATGAGCTGCTGCACTACAGCAGTTATTCATATTTTTTTTTTAATTCATTGCTCTAATGGATTTATAATAGATGGAAATAGATGGAAAGCATTTAATTTCAGCTGCTTTTCTGCAGATAATTTATTTTCTTACATCTGTGTTCATCATGTCCACTTTGCCAAATCTCTCTGGATGGTATGTGAGGTAAAATTTTCAATCTGCTGCCAAAAGCTTGATTATAAATGGCATACCAACTGTTTTCTTGTTCGTAAAACCTGTTTGTTTTCAGGTAGATGCCTTAAACCATTGTTAAAATGAGACTACATAAAGTAGTAAGCAGTGGGGAATTCATAGGTATAGTGTAAGCCTGAGTACTTTTCAGGACTGTCTTGATGCCAGTGTCATTAAAGTACCTCTTATTACCTTAGTAGTGCTCAAAAAAACTAGAACAGGGATTAGGATCTTGAAGACATATATATTTTTAATGTCAGTTGGACACATGTTTAGCTTCTTTCTGTGTAACATAGAAACTTTGGTCTGAATAGCAAGTCTGTGTTAGAATGATTCCTGTTGCTACTGCATGCAACCTCTCTGTTAAAAAATTCCTCATTCCTCCACTATCTCTACTCTTTTCTACACTATTTCTTCCCCTTAATCTTAACTGGCTGTACTCCCACTTCATTATCATGTTGCTGAATGGTGAGTAGCTTCTCTGTTTTTGCCTGTTCACTCTCTACTGATCCTCAGGCAACCATTTGTAATAGTAATTTCTGTCTCTTAGAAACTCAGATGTTTGTGCATAGTAATGGCTGCTTATAGGAACAAGTGGTGTTTTAAACTTTCTACCCCCCTACTTACCTTTTCTTCTGATGTATCACTTTATCTTACCTCTTTTATTAAGATTGAAGTTTATCCAGATATTGCAGCATATTTACATATATACTATTTTTGTTAGTCACCACAATCGTACTTCGCTTTGACTAATGTAGGAGTATGGCTTCTTGGAAAAGGAACTGGAAAAAAATCTTTTTTTTTTTTTTTTCCTTTTCTTAGCAAAACAAGCAATCTAATAGTGATTTTTGCATACTAGACTGCCTATCATCAGTTTACCAAAACATATGAAGCCCTTATTTTCTCTTATTTTTATGAGTGCTGGGCTGCTTATCAGTAGTCTCTGAGCATAGCGACAACTCACACACATATACCACCCTTTTGGACTTGGTTTGCTTGAGCTTGTTTAGTCAGAATGGTGTTTTACATAAAGGCCTGTGATGCTGATCTCAAAAGTGATACCAGTAATTCACAGCCTTCCAGCCTCACAGCTTCTCTGCTGTGAGGAACTGTTCTGAATTTCGAGGATGTGCTAACTGGGCTTTGCTACTGATTCTTTTTTAATCTCATCACTTCCAGGAAAATTAGCATCTCTTCTACATGCACTCTTCTGTTCAAGAGTAATTATCACTATCCCCATGCCTAATGATATGAATTAAAATTATTATACACTCCAGTGTTTGGAAATGAGAATGCCCACATGCCCTGTGGGAAAATTGTCCAAAGACATTGCAATGGTTTCCAAGTGTCTTATATTTGCATTCTTATGAAGTACATAACTTTTGAAGAGGGTTTTCTGATCATTTCCATGTGCTGTCACAGCTGGCCCAGTAAGAGGAAGCCATAAGGTGGGAGCAATTATTCACTGGGGATGCCCTGACTGTTTGGCT